TTTTTTTTTTTTTTAATGTATTTAGTACAGGATCTATAGGGCTCACTAAACAAATCAGATTCTAGTGATCCTCCTGTTTTCAGCCTCCCAAGCACTGGGATTACAGGTACATGCTACCACGCCCAGTCTTGATGCATCTCATCCTGCCCCAGGGGCTGGGCCAGCATAGCATGCTGGGGATCAAACCCAGGTCCCTTAGGCAGGTGCTTTAGTACCCAGGTCCCTTAGGCAGATGCTTTAGTCTGCTGATCTATCTGGTTTTTTCTTTTGTTCTTTTTGAGACTGGATTTCACTATGCTATTCAGGCTTCCCTTGTAGCCTAGGCTGACCCCAGTTTACAGCAATTCTCTTGCCTCGCCCTCTGGTGTGCTAGGATTATAGGCATGTACCACTGGCTATATTGTATTTTTGAGACAGGGTCTTGCTCAGTCACTAATAGTCCAAACTGGGCTCGAATATTTGATCTTCCCACCTCAGCCTCAGAACACTGGCATGTTGTGCACCACCACAGCTGGCTCCCTCTCGGGCTTTGGACTTGCAGGGATGTCTCCTGTAGACCCTACCCTTCAGTACTTTCCTCCCTTCTTTGTTTTCCGACCTCTGACATCCTTTCTTCCGTGAGTGTGGGATTGTTCTCCATGGTTGCTGGTGAATATCTGATTTGTACCTTTATCATTTCAAGCCTTCTATGATTTTCTTTTTCTTTTTTCTTTTGTTTTAAGATAGAAGTGTAGTCCAGCCTAGCTTCAAACTCACAGCAGTCCTCCTGTCTTGACCTCCCAAGAGCTGGGATTACAGGCATGTACCACCATGCCCTCTAGAATTCTTTAGTTCATCCCAGATCACAAGTTACATTGAGCTTTAAAAAGCAGTAGGCATCAAGTGTCATTTGGTATTCTATAACTTTGGTATTTTGAGTATTACTTAATAAAAGCATTCTTGGTATTTAAAGGTCAGCATTGAGCTGAGGGGAAACCCCAGGAAAGTACTACTGGGGTAGAGTTCCTAGGGCTGACTTCCCTCTGATGGCCTCTCCTAGGATCGAGAGGAGCGCAAGCTGCTGCTAGACCCTAGTAGCCCCCCAACCAAAGCCCTCAATGGAGCTGAGCCCAACTACCACAGCCTGCCTTCCGCTCGCACAGATGAGCAGGCCTTGCTCTCCTCCATCCTTGCCAAGACAGCCAG